TACTGGTGGAATGCCCCTCATGTGAGGGCAGGGCTGCATGGTGAACAGCGGTTCTCTGTGTTTCGGTAGGTGGGGCTGGGGCCAGGAGGAACTTGCAAACATTTCTGCTTTCTTGTTCTACTTTTTTCTTTTGGGACTTCTGGTTTGAGGAGTTTTAAGGCAACTTTATGAAACCTGACTAGTGGGGTCATATGAAGGGCGTCCCAGAAGTTTTTCCCTGTTGTTTAAAATATATTTACGAATGAGGTGAATACAAATGAATGATAGAAGGAGAACACAGAACTAAACAATTCAGAGGACAGCAAGTTTCTGCTGGGTGTATGAGTGGAGCACACCACAGCATATCCCCGTGAATATTCCTTTCCTTCCTTCTAGTTCCCCTGTAACGCCCATCATCTCCCGTTTGCAGTGGTTTTGACATGGCCTTTCCCCTCTGGTCCTAAAGCAGGCTCCCTGACACTCTCTGTGGTCCAGGACAGCCAGTAAATGCTACTTTCACATGTACCTCTCCTGTGGTGAAGCTTTAGTGTAACTGTGGAGCGCCTCCTTCCGCAGGGGCACAGGGCTTCTGTGCAGTCCCCTGCTCGCCCCTTCCCACCTGGCCAGCTCTGAGCACCTTCCTCTTCCCTGTAGCTTCTCTCATTCCTGCCGATCTGGGGGGTTCATCCCTGAAGGTAGCAGTGGGTAAATGAGAGGCTTGAGAGGTGGGCCTGGGCGAACCTCATGAGGTTCAGCAAGGCCAAGTGCAAGGTCCTGCAGCTGGGTCAGGGCAATCCCGAGCACAAATACAGGCTGGGTGGATGAAGGGATTGAGAGCAGCCCTGCCAAGAAGGACTTGGCAGTGCGGGGTAATGAAAAGGCCAACATGAGCCAACAATATGCACTTGCAGCCCAGAAGGCCAACCGTATCCTGGGCTGCATCAAAAGCAGCATGGCCAGCAGGTCGAGGGAGGGGTTTCTGCCCCTCTGCTCTGCTCTGGTGAGACCCCACCTGGAGTCCTGCGTCCAGCTCTGGAGCCCTCAGCGCAGGAAAGACATGGAGCTGATGGAGCAGGTCCAGAGGAGGGCCACAAAAATGATGAGAGGGCTGGAGCACCTCTCCTGTGAGGAAAGGCTGAG